ACCAACTCGACTTGCGATCAGAGTCACGGAACGGATTAAGTTCGTAAGTAGAGGTACCACTGTACTTATCTTCTCTGGAAATTTCTTTACTTCTTCTTCTTTTGTGTCTAACACATCCAAAATAGCTTGTGTTTTCTCTTGCCTCTTCTTTTTGAGTTCACTACTATGTTGTATGAAATAACGTCTGATAAAAGCTTTACTTGTGTCCCAAATCATTCTTAAATCATTATCTTTGCTTAAATTATTTTCAAAAATTATTTTAATTTCTTTTTACAATCCTCCACTATTCTTTCTGCAAAACATTTCATTTAATCTCCATCTAAAAAAGATGGATTTCCTTTTATGAACCAAACTCACAGGATTATGATCCAAAAAAGTCTTTGATAATATCTCAACTTTAGAAACCTTAGTAGCCAAATTCTTCGAAATCCATATTATATCTATTCTTGAAAAGGATCTATGTGTTTCAGAAAAGTAGGTGTACTCTCTTGAATTGCCATTTTTCTATCTCCATCTGTCCACAAGCCCTAAATTGTCCATCAAAACAAATAAAACTTTTGGTAATTTGCCTTGACTGATTCTAATATTTTTCTCAGAAGTTCTATCCAGTTGTGGGGAGATCACTCCATTCCAATCCCTCATCAAACACCAATTTTCGTAAGAAAAATCTATTAGTCTCTCTATAAGTCCTTTATAGAACAGTACATTATCCTCATTTGGGGCATAAATTCCCAATATCAGGGTCTTAGTTCCATGCAAATTAACTTCCATCCCAACACATTTACCATGGTGATCAGTCAATACAAGTACTAGTTTTGGATGGGGATTTATATACAAAACAACTCCATTTCTCTTTTTAGTTCCTGCTGAAATAAATTCTTCACCCAAATTTTTATAAATCAAATATTTTATATCCTTTTTTCTAATACGTATCTTTTTAGGCAAATTATATCTTGTTTTAATTTTTTCTAATCATGATTTATTTTCTCTTTTGAGGAGCATTTGCTCCATTTATAATCCACATGAAGCATTTGTAATCCATAATCAAGCCAAAAATTTAGCAGAGTTGATACCTGTAGCACCTAGTTCAGTATCATCCCTTTCCATTTTCTGTTGGACCTGCTGAAGTTTTTGTGTAGTTTCATCTGACACCTCCATTTGAAACTCCTTCAATTCCCTGAAGTAAATTCCTCTCTCTGTAGGTTGCTCTAGGGATCCTCTCCTCCCCTCTGCTATTTTTGCCACTTTTCTGGTGATTGCCTTTGTAATATTGTAATCCAAAAAGGAAATGTCTCAATTGCAAGGGAAAGAGTAAAAGGCAAGCTTTCTCTCTCTTTTTTTTCCTATTTTGTCTTCCTGTACCCTTAATACTTTCATCTCAAATGGCACTCCATAGTTACAGTCAGCATCACATACCTTTATCTCATATTACCTTTATCTTTTGTTTCATAAAATCCACCAATTGTCTACACTCTTTAATAGTTAAAAAAAAAAACATTCCCACGAAGGTCCAGTTAGTTTGTCTATTTTAATCCCAATTTATTCAAAAACACTTTCACCCAAAAATAATCTTTAAAAAATTGTCCCCTTTATCCATTTTAAACTTCCTTACATCCACTCCTCTTAAGCTTTTTGCCAAAAGTTTTTAAATCTTTAAATCCCATTTTTTTTTCTTTTTTAGTCCAGAAAGAATGTTGACTCACCAAGTGGAATTCTCTTATCCTGCCACTCAGAAAATCTCTCTTTAGCTGTAAATTAATTACATCTAAAAGTGTTTAAGAAATGAGCCTTGTGCGAACCTTGTGTCCGTATAGGCTGCAACACGGCTGTGAGCTTGGTTGAAATCCCTCGACTCCCAGCTGCTCAACTCACGAACTGACCGCAAAAACCTCAGTTCTGCAGTCTACTCATGAGGAGGAGCTGTCCAGAGTGCAAGTGGGCAATCTCACAATCTCTCCTTTATCCGGAAAGACAGCGCTGGCCAGAATTTACTGTCTGGCCGCCAATCTCCACCAATGTCTCCACTCCTTCAGGAGCCACAGATCTCACCCGGAAGCCCAGCTGGTTGACTGTACTGACTTTATTGATTTATATAGCTGCCCATCTTGCAATTGTGACTCTGGGCAGTAACCATAAGAATTAAATCAACAGAGAACAAAAATTATAAATAATAATACTAGACAATAATAACCTAATAATAGCATAATTTCACTGAAGGACAATTAATCACTTCCTCACTTTTGGACAACCTCACACATAGTATAAAGGTGGGATCCATCATAATAAAAGGGAGATTAGGGGACATTCTTTGGGTTTGGGTTGTAAAATGGCTTTGGGGAGAGAGTTAGGGATTGTCCTGACCATCATTTTAATTTCCCACCATACTTTGGAGCAGTGCTATCTTGGGCATCCCAGATAGTTAAAATGGAAGCTGCTTGGGTCTGGTTGGAGAAGCACCACCAAATGGGCAAATATAATTACAATAAAAGAAAATCTCGCAAAAAATCTTTCCTCACACTTGCAGCCAAACTTGCAACTACCCCAAAACATGGGAAGATTTACCTCTGGAGGAATACTGTCGTCCGAATCCGAACTCTCGTCACACTCACTGCAGTCCAAATTCATCTGTAACAGTTGATCGATGGTGGCATCTACTGCACCATTGTTGGCCCTCAACACACATTCAATGATGTCATAATCCATGTTGGGGAACATGGTCTTAAAATCCTCCATTGCCTGGTTAAACTCCAGCCTCCGTACTTGCCTTGCGGGGCGGCTATTGTTAAGTTCCTGAGCGGAAGAGCTGTTCCTCGAGCCGCCATTGCTGCTGCTCCGTCGGAACAGACTTGTCATTTTTGATAACCGTTTTTGGAAAATGTTTAAACTTTTTCAAATCAGCTTTTGAGGTAGGAAAAGAAAGAACTAAGAGAAGAAATTTATAAATCCCAGGCCCAGGAGAAGAAGGGGTGAGGCACAATCTGCCTTCCAGTTTAGTTGTCAAGAAGAAGCTATGCAACTGTCTTTCAGCACCACTGGCTGATAATTCACCACAAAATGGAGGCACATTGGAGATGGCGAAGCAAGATGGAGTGGAGTAAACGTGAAGAGTTTCAGCCCTGGATCAATCCGTGACAGGAGACAATTTTGGGAGAAGACTTCTTCAGAAATACATGAGCATCCAAAGCCCCAGATGCATTGTTTTTACTGAAAATAAACAAATGTTTTAAAAAAGGTATAAGCCATGTTATTGTATAGAAAGCTGATATTAATAGCTCTCTCACACTCTCCTGTACAAGGCTTTGTGTAGTTTTGCAGAACTTGAGGTGAGTTTGCAGAAGAAATTCCTGAAATTTCTTTCAATTCTGCTATTTCAAAATATACAACGAGGCAGATTTTTGAAAATAAAAGATACAGACGTCATTATTCAGAAGCAAGAATTCTCGGGGATAGGAAATCTTTCTTCTATCTAAGGACAGATGGTTTAAGAAGATTTCAGTTCTGGATGGTTATTTAAAGATACTTTTCTCTATCTCTTAGACCACCATCAGCCAAGAAGTGGATTCTTTCTCCTGGCTGAATTAAAGTCTTAGTCACAAGTGCCTAAGCTGTAAACAGAAAACTCTAATGGCATAAAATTTGCTGTCCTCACTGGCAGTCTCTATTCTGCCATAGGCACAGTGCTGAGAAACAGTGTTGTCCTTACAGTGTGCAGGGATTGGTGGATTCACCCTACTTTGTTTCCTTCCCACTCAACACATACCATCAGTTGGATGGATGAAAAACACTCAGCAATTATTCTCCTTAATATAGGATGGGACTGTGTTTAGAGGAGGAGGAGAATTTTGACAGATAGCTAAACATGCAAGTTCAGCCTCTTATCAAAACTTGCTTTGGTCTGATGCAAGTATTTTGTTCCAGTGCATTTAAAGCCAGCCTGATTATTAGCTAGTAGTCATGCTTTGCACAACTCTGGAATACTGCTAGTCCAATGCTATTCTGGAATTATGCTAAGCCCATGTCCAAAAGAACACACCTCTGCAAAACACTTGTAGCAAAGCAGAATCACTGCACTCCTTTTAGTCATGGTTTAGCAGTGCTCCAGAAGAGCAGTAAACCTGTGTTCAGAAAGATCCAGTGATGAACCAACTCGTATGGAGACAGCTGCACCATGAAGCAGCAGCGAGAGAATTAAGTTGCTCTCTTACTTGCTCCACTGTGTAATATGCACACACAACCATTGCCACCACTTGTCAGCTGCAGCTCAGGATGATCCAAATTTCAGAGGCCAATCTGGAAAAAGTCTGTTTTGAAAGAACCAGATACTCCTACAGCCCAGAGCAGAAGGAAATCAATGCCCAGGGGATGGAAGAGATGTGTCATGTCCACACCAGTCTAAAGCAGCCAAGAGATGTTGGATTGACCCCACTTCCCTATGAATCACTTGACTAAGACACTGATCAGTGAAGTGCATTAGATGTACCCATGGCAAAACTACCATAGCTGGTTGCCTGCCTAAATGGGAGAAGTCTACTTTAATACTAGAACAGCTAAAGACAACTTTAAGCTGTCTCAGGCTTGATAGAAAACACGCTGAAAGAACTTACCAAAACATCTGGAGAGGATCCAGACAATTGTTTTATTGAATATAGTTAGTCGCTGGACTCCAAGCCTTGGGGGCAAACGAATCTGGATGTCTGAACCCAGCCTATGTTTATTTCTAGTGTCTATCATACAAGAAAAGTTGTGTGCTTTTGTGTGTATGTGTGTGTGTGTGTTTTGGGGACCCCTGGAACTAATGGCACTTACAGGCATTCCATAGCCAACCCTTGGCTTACATGGTGCCCCATACAAAATGAAAGAGAAGGAATCTCTGCTCATAGTCAAAACAAAACCAGTATTATTGCTTTCTGCAATGTGATAATTGAATTTGAATAAAGTATCAAAAACATGATATGAAAATAATAATTTTATCAAAAGCCACTGGAGAAAATGGGATAATTTCACTGATTGCAAAAAGATTTCTTCACTCAATCTGCCATTATTACTTTTTTCAGTAACCTTAACTAGTTCCTATATTTTCTGTATATCGTTCCCATCGGTAGATAAAGGTTGTACTGCATCATTCCAATACAGAACTAACAGCCCCATTTCATTGACAGTCTCAGTGTGTTTCTATGTCATGTCCCAAACACTCCTGAACAATTTGTCAAGAGATGAAACACACAGCCTAGTGGACTGGAATCAAAAAACCCCTAAACTTCAGACATGTCAAACACTCACAGCTCACAGTTCTTTAAATACCTCAAATCCATAAGAGGAAACAAAGTGAGCCAGAACTATAAGGCCAGTGTTATCTTTTAAAACAGCTAGCACACCTTCCAAACAAAACAGAGAGAAGGGAGGAAGGGAATAAATTTATTTCTTATCTTGAATCTACTGATGGATGCAATTACGCTGAGTGCAAATGCATAGCCTGTCTCATTGTTCAATTTCCATCAAGCGGGAGATTTCAAAACTCAAAAGAGATAACAGAAGTTATATTTTACAAAACGCAAAGGTGAAATAACAGGTAAACAGGTTTAACACCATTAGGAAAGCAATGAGTACTGAAATGTATCCCAGCGTTAACAATTCCCTTATCATATGAATGTCTTATGCACTAAAATTCTGTTCTCGTGCTAACCGTTCGTGTTCGTAGCCTAACTGCAGCCCTTGACTACTTAGAATCATTCTTAAGAATTTTATGGAGTAAATGAGCTCGAATAAATAGCACCTATGGTATGGCAACATCACTTGAAGAATATTGCTGTTTTGGTTTTCGTATCTGTCTGTTTTAGTACCTGGTTTGTTCAGAGTATTCTGTCTCCATGATACTGTCATTAGACATACTCCCCACTGCTAAGGCCCTTGCCAATTTAGTTGAAAAAGATACTAACTTCAAATTAAAAGTAATAATTATTAATTAGGCCTAACCATCCCTAAAAATAATTGAAATAAAAGAAGTGCTCTAATATACTTTATTGTATTGGCTTATGCATTCTTTCTTTCTTTCTTTTTAAATCTATTTTGCATTTCTCCATTGACAAATGACTGGGGGAGCCCAATCTTCTCCATGTTGGAGATACTGAAGAGGACCAACTTGGTGTGGGGGAAGCAGAGATTCCTGTGACCACCGACCTCTCCCTCCGTACCCACTCCTTAAGACAACTGCTGTCTTGGTCTAACAGATGAACCTTGGAATTTTAGGAAGTAAGGTTTGAAAATTCATACCTTCAGAAGTACTATTTTGAACACGGAAAAGAGTCATGGGCCACATCACCATCTCATTTCTCCAATAATCCTGAACAAACTGCTTCTGGTCGAGGCAGAGAGAGATTCTGTCATTGTATGTCCACAAGGATGGAGAACGATGGCATAGCAACCTGCAGAAAAACACATGTATTAATGCTGTCATTTCAGATGTTATTGAATGTGATTTATGGATCCGGGCAAAGTCCAAAGTCGAAAAACAAAATTTTCAGCAAAAATTCACAGCTCAGTTGCTATTTTAAATTTGTGTGTGACAAATGATGACAGAGACCAGGACAATGAAATGAAACCTTTACATGAAGCATTGCAAAAGAGCAGTTAGATTTTGGAGAACCTGAAAGTTCCCCCCTTTGTTATATCAAACTTATATCCTCAGACTCTCGCTGGCTGTTTATTTGTTTGTTTGTAATCAATTTAGAGGCCACCCAACTCTTAATGACTGTGGATGGGTGGCAATTAAAAAAACACACACACAAGAGTTCATGAGCGGCCAGAAGAAAGAGAAGCAAACAAATAAACCAAAATGTCCAACATGGGCTTAACTATCACCTTGCCCCAAGGCCTAGCAGAACAGACAGGTATTTAATGTCCTCCAGAATGTCATCAGGGTGGGAGTCATCTGGATCTCAGGGAGATCCATGACAGAATAGGCCCATTTCCTGGGTCCCATTAGATGACACTGCTTAATCGATGGGACCTGAAGCATACCCACTCTGCAAATCTCACTGGATGGCCAGAAACAACCCCTTTGAGGCATGCATGTGACATTGCAAAGCATACAGAAAAAGGGGGGAGCTTGTATCATGACGTAACTTTCCTCATTCTGACCCCTCTTGCCCTTACATCGAAACTGCTGCATTCAGTCAATAGCCCTTAAGAGATCTGTCCCCCATCAATTTATTTAAGCTGGTCATGGAATGACCCATTTTTGAGATTTGCGTTTGAGGCACTGAACCATAAATGAGCTAAGCAACAGCCACAAAATTAGCACGCCATGCAAATGCCACCTCTAGATTTTTAATTGCTTTAGTCATATGAACATTGTCAGAAATTAGATTGTATAATGATCCTAATAACCAAGATGTTCCTAAGAGGGTCCTTTAAAGAAGATTCAAACCTGATCATGATGATGATAGAAGGAGAAGGAGGAGGAGGAGGAGGAGAAGGAGAAGGAGAAGGAGGCTGCCCGACACATAACAACTCTGGCCAATGTATAACAATTAAATGGCTACTAAAAAAATGTAAGAAAAAAAGCACAGATGTCCAGAAGAAGAAAAATCTTCAATTCTAAAA